AGATGTGAGATTTCATATTTTAATATTTAACAACACAAAATTATAGAGTTTGCCTGTACTGGCTCTGTTGAGACCTAGACTTGAACAAGAGTTTTATATATATATATTTATAGAAATATATAAAATTATATTTTATACATACAAGCAAATCGTGAATGCTGTCCAGAACACTGCTGTTCCAGTAGACTCATTTGATGATAACGGCATCAAGTGTTAGAATCCATAGCCTAGATAATTGTGCCTGGTGGTCAAATTTGGATTAGGATTAATTTGAAGTAAAATTAACACTGGCCCCAGTTTGAAACAACACAAAATGTCAGGCTGTGAACCATAGGGCTTGTATCCTAAAACCTGTGAATTTGTTGAACTCTTCATTAAATTAGATTACTTTGACTTATTAGAATAAATCAACTTTCTATGCCTTGAAATTCTACACCTACTGCTGTTACAACATTCTGATTTTGTGGATTTTTTTTAATTCAGCTATGGGATTCTTTCATTGGTTCACATGTGCCCAGTAGATAATTTGCTGTGAAATTACTAGGGCTTGAGAAAATGGCAGTAATCTTCGGTGAATGTAGATGAACATATTATTCCGAAATTTGACAAAACTCTTTGGACAGCTACACAATCTCCCTTTGGAGGGGGCGATTCCGCATGCAAAGATATGCGCATGCAGCACGTTGGAGGATGCTTTTTTGATTACAGGCAAGAGGATGTGAAAGTTGAGTGCAAAAAAGGTAGTAACAACCTCTTGTCTTTTACAATATCAAAAATGTTTTTAAATAATTGTATCATACAGTTCAGTGTCTTTAAAGAAATTAATCCTGAGTAGTTCATAGACTTGTCGTTTACGTATTAAATAGCTCGAGCTCTGTGTTGCCTTAGTCATATTATAGAAAACCTCAGAGATAGTGCTTTAGAGGGGGAACAGGGTGAGCATTCTTGCATAAAGCAGCTCCTGTTAGCAATGCTGAGTTTTTACAGAATTGAGATGGGTTTAACTCAGGATTTAGTCTTCATTAACGTCAAACACATTTCTCACATTATTTTCAAGGGGAGAAGTAGGAGAATTTTACATACTTTTTTTTTTTTTTTTTTGAAAAAGAGCCCTAAGTAGCTTGTTTGCCCATATTCTTATATGCACTGTTCTTTCTTTTAGTCTTGTAGCTTACTATGGTTGTCATGGCGAAGTAGGAGGCTGGATTTTTTTTAATGTGAAATGAGATAGAAGAAGTCCTGTTTTTATTAAGGATTTTTGAACTTGTATTTATAGAAAAGCTACTGAAAATTTAAGGTCATAAAGAATTTCCTATTAATTTTCACTGCAAGCATGGGGTTCAAGACAGCTCAGACAATCACGTATTTGAAAGCTTACATGCTGCACAGCTGATCAAATATGTCAACATACTTATGATACTTTATTTTGTTAATGGTAATAGTGTCCTTGTGCAGTGCAGAAAAATCAAAATTGTTTGTATGAATTAAGGAAAAATTATAGGGTGTTTATAACACTCTCTTAAAAAACATAGATTTTGTTTCTGCATATAAGGACTTGTAAATGTGTTAGCTAAGTGCTATAGATATATTTAGCAAGGCTGCTTGATAGAATTGTTGTAATGTTCTTTTTTAGAAAGAATTAACATAAAGGAGTGAAGGTCTTTCACTAAAATTTAGCAGTCCTGTTAAGCATGTACTGGCTTATTTTCTAGGCTCACTTTTATTCCAGCTGTGAGTGGGAAACTTCAGGAAAACATTCCTAAAAAGCACCTTGAGGTGACTAAATTGCTACTTCATTTATATCAAGATGGACAAATTGGAAATCTGCCAACCACAGTCACCAGTGCAAGTCCTGCTGGACTCCCACCCAAACAGATGACACGTTTTGCCTCCTCTGTGATGCAGATTTGGGGGATTGATAGTTTCAAAGGTAGGAAGCTCTAGACCAACCTTGTAGATTTTGAAAACAAGTGCCATTCCTTCCTCATCCCTTTTTGTCTCACCAACAGGATAAAAATGCTGTCATGGGAAACAACGAAATCATTTTAGGGGTTCTTTAAATGGCAATGGCAGTCAGCACCAAGTAGGAAAGAATTGTTGCAGTATTTCATCTACTTGGAGACTTACAGGAGTCTGCAATGACTCGGGCAAGTCCTTTTTTCAAATGAAGAGCTGGCTAATAGTGCTTCTCATGCACTCTGTTCCGTGCTAGAAACACTGATTTATTTGTAAAACATCACAATGCAACAACAACGCTAGCCAATGGCTAATCCTAATTAATAAATAGGATGTAAGCCACTTTCAGGAATTCCCTTTTTTTTGTTGTTGCATAATGCAATATAGTTTGGGAGGGGGTCACATTCTGCTGCACAAAGATTTTTTTTTAATGTAATTACAATGATTTTGTTAAATATGTTCTGTGTTAATGCCATTGCTCTTTTACAGATGGGGACACTCAGGACCAGAAAGGTTAAAATTAAAGTTGTAGCAAGAGCTAGATTTGAAGGAATGTTTTGTGTGTCAAGACGATGCTCTAGCAACTGAGAGGAGATGGCAATAAGGGATAGTCTGCTAGGCAGGATGTCTAGGCTCCATTCCTGCAAGTGGCACAAACTCTGTGTAATTTTGAATAAGTATTTCAGTGTCTGTGTTTTCAGTTCCCCATACAGAAGAAGAGAATAAGAGTATTTCTCTTACTGCCCAGGAATTCAGATTCTGTAGTTAAGAGCTGTAAGTTTAGAAACAGATGGATCTTTTAAGCAGTTGAATGGCATGAAATTTTATGACACTAAACTGAGAAATTGGTTTCATTTTTAACATCATTGCAGAAACTGCAGATTCCCTAGAGAGGGAATCGAATCGTTCAGTAAGTGTTTTTATGAGCACAACATTCCCAACCTTCCAAAATATTAGAAACATGTGTATCCTTAGAATATATGTCAAGTACTTGATATTTATAACCAAATTAACAATGCAGTTTGAATAATAGGAATTACTTAAAAAAAAAAAAAAGTTTTCTGGAACCCCAGTATTCATAGTTCTACTTTCAATTTCTGATCACATCTTTAAGAGAAATTACTGATGGGCAGAATGAGCTATGTATCTTGTAACACATCGGAACTGCTTTGTGAGGTTGTTAACTATCCTATGATCAAAAATGTGTAATCCAAGAACTCTGATTTTAAAGCCTTTTGGATGGTTAGAAACAAAGCCAAAGTGCTTCTCAAATGCAACATGCTCCTCTGTGTGCACTGCTCGGTCCCGAGTTTCCCTTTGTGACCTTTTACTGTGAAGCTGCTTTGCACGTTGGGGCGGATCAACTTCTTCCTTCCCAACGAAGGCTGTTCTGCCCCTTCCCAGGCGCTCGGAGTGTGGAGGGATAGTCTGTGACCTGGAGCATTTGTGGCATGAGTGTGAGGGGGGCTATAACCTCCAGGAAAGCAGCAGGCGAGGCAGAAGGTGTTGCAATATCCTCAACTGGTGCAACGAAGGCAGCAGAGCTTGTCTGTCAGGCCTGTTAATTTTGTTCAATTCCCAGTCAGCAGTTTCAAGCTTTGTTGTTCGTTCACTTTGGTTCTTGCTGGACAGGATTGCTTTCAGGACTCTTGAACCTTTCGCAAAAGCTATTTATGATTTTGCAGTTTAAAAATGACAAGTCTGCATTTGATACATGCAGATTCCAGTATAAAGTAAGTGAGACTAAGGAATTCCTGAAAATTACCGGAGGAACCAAAGTTGGAAAATCTTCATATTTCCAAGAGCTTTGTTATACTGTCTATATCAAACACTAAGCAACATTATTAAAGGATTCAGATTGCTTATTCTGTTAACTGGCTCTAAGGTGTGCTGTATTAGATGGGGAAAATGCCTTTAATAAAGCATTTGGCAAAAAAAAAAAAAGAGTCTTCAGTATTCAGCAAAAAATGAAAGCTGACCTGCTTTTAAAAGTGTTCAGTGTTTTCATTTTCTCTTTAGGACCCTAATTTTTACTTTTTTCCAAGTTCTTCTCTTTGGGATTTGGTAGTAATAGAAAGGGGAAAGTTCTTGATTCCTTCTCTGCTTTACAGCATTGTCACTTAACTTTTCCTTGATTTGATATGAGTGGAGATATTAGAGTTGGTTTTAGGTTAATATAATATGGAGATTTTTATTCTGAGACTTAATATTCATTCTTCAGTAGTTCTTGTCATCAAAGTAGTTGGTACTTTTTCTGCTTCCACCAGTAGTCTTTCAACACCACCTTGAACTGTTAGTGGTAGGGCAGGTGATTTAAGAAAAAAAATCAACCAGGTGGCAAGTCTTTTCAAGGTTACTAGTCCATTTGCAATGGAATAAGGAGATCTTAATGAAATAGCGATGTGTAAATTAGAAAAAAAAAGGAAAAGAAGAAAAAGAAAAGAAAAAAAAAACAAGTACCATATGTTTTGCTGCTCAACTGTGTTGACCCTGAAAGGTAGGCATCATATGGGAACTAGCAGAAAATCCATGATAATAAATAATATCCCTTGTTGGTGACAGAAAAACGTAAATGTTCATTATGATAAAGAAGTATTGAGAGCTGAGAATTTTCAAATTAAAGAAAATTTAGGACAACAGTATGCAAAACACAGCAGTGTCATGTTTGAAAAAGTAATAATTATCATTTTTGAGATCAGTACCAAAAGTGCTATCTGCATTTGGTTTTCTTTTGGACCAGAAGAGTGCACAGGTCTGCCAAAAGGAGCCTCTTCCTTCTATGAGATCATCTGCAGAAGTCAAGATTTTCAATTAATCATTTCAAGATTTATTTGTTTATTCATTTTTAACACTGGCTTGGAAGTAGGATAATCTCCTGAAGAAGGGTTTTGCCTTGGCATGATTTTTGGAAGATTTGTCCCCACAGAAACATATTCAGCAAACAGATGTGCTGTTTCTGTGAGTTTTATCTTTAAAAAAGAATAGAAACATACGTACATACATATATACACACTTATTTCTGTTTTTTTCTCTTGTTTCTACAGTTTATTGTGGAGTGTCATGGGAATACACTTCTTCCCCAGTTTTTGGGCATGTATCGGCTTACTGTTGATGGAGTCGAGGTATATATGGTTGTTACGAGAAATGTGTTCAGCCATCGTTTATCTGTTTATAGAAAATATGATTTAAAGGTGAGAAATAACTTAATGAAATAAGCAATAAAGCAGTTTAAAATATCAAACATAAATATTAGTCTTGATAATAGCGTATTGCTCAATGTTTTAATGAATTTGAGGTGTGTATAATCACCAAAATTAGATGGTTTTATTGACTTTTAAAAATTTGGTTAGCAAAACTGAGGAATGATTTTAGAAAAATTGTACATTGTGAGTATTTTTAAAAATGCAATTTAACCAGATATGCTTGTTAAATGTAACTAATGGTTAAAGAAACATTCAGACAAATACAATAACAATCCTGTTAAACGTATTTTTCAACATTTTGGAGAGCCACAACTGATTCAACAGAGAGCTTTTAGATAATGATTAGATAATGTCATCATTTAAACCAATAGAATGGTACTTATTATTACAAAAGCTTCATCAAATTTAAGTAAAAAAGAAAACAGGCTAGATTACGGAATTGCTATTGCTTTTATCATAAAATGTGGTTTATTTTTGTTCCAAATTCTTTATCTCCTCTTTGCAAGTTTACCAATAATCAACATACAGTATTTTAGAATGAATGCTCAAAATATATTCTCAGTCTCCCTACGTAAGGAATTGTATTTATCAGCCCACAGAGTCTCCATTGAGAAAGCTACTTCTTTCTGATATGTTTAACTGCGCAAGTGTATCTCCTTCTGCACAAGTCTCCTCCTCTGGAGATCTTCAAAACCTACCTGGAACACAACCCTGTGACACGTGCTCTAGGTGACCCTGCTTGTGCAAGGGGGTAGGTTGGACTAGATGATCTCCAAAGGTCCCTTCCAACCTCAGTGACTCTGTGATTCTGGTACCTGGAAGCTCATTGGAAGAAGGTCACTTAGCTCTCCCTCTCCAGAGGTGTGCGGTGCTCCATGTCGCACCAGCTTTTCCTACTGTGGACTGTCTGCGTGGAAGTTGGTAGATACTCAACACAAGCTGATTTCTGAGAACTGATTTCCAGATTATTATGAATTGACCTGTTGGTGTTCAGTACTACTGGCAGGAGAGCCAGTAGAGCATGGATACTAAGAGACTACAGATCAGCAAAGGATTTCAAAGGTGTTGTCCTAAGCATTATTAAAATGACTTAAATATCAAATTTGGCAATCTCCCTAATTTGACTACTGTAAATCCTCTTTTTCCTTAGCAGATGGAGAAAACAATACAAAATAGTATGCGTATCCTCAAAGAACTCAAATATCAAAGACTTTTACCTGGCTTCATTTTCTGCTTTATTTTCATACAGTGAAATGAAATCTCTGCTTGCTGTGCCATACAGAATAACTAAAGCTACTGTAATATTCATCCACTTTCCCTATCTAGTTTTCTAGGTCTGTCTCTGCAAACAAAAGAAAAAATATAGAAATACAGAGGTATTGTTGAAACTCCTCAAGTACTTTAAAGTAGTTCAACTCCATTCCTGCACTTTTTTACCCAATGCACATCTTCCCAAAAAATGCAGAGCTCATTTATATATTTATCATTCAACATAAACAGGGTAGCGTTTTTACGTTTTAAAGGTATAACTACAGTTATTATTTCTTGCAGTGCCACTAGGTGATGGGTAAGCTCTGGTTATGTGAAAGGGCATTTTCCTGCTCCAGAAACTGAGAGAGAAACATGTAGAGTGTTTTTTCCCACCTTCAGCTTACATAGAAAGTATCATATAGCTTTCTAGTTTTAAGGGGAAATAAGTCTTTTACAGCATTCAAAATGTCTTTGGCAAACACCGGACAAAATCTTGGTAGATCTACTGTTGGTCCCGTCTCTCTTTTTTGACTTAATGTTACCGTAAGATGCTTTTGTCTGGTTATACTTTGATCTTTTATGTTTTAATTTATATACTGCAACATCACTTTCCAATGTCTGTTAAATATGTCCAAATAACTGTATAAAATAGATTATTCCATAACATGGCAGCTAACTGGCACCAAAAGATCAGAAGACTGCTAAACAAACTGAACCTCCAGTGTGATTCTCTCAAAGTTGGGATGAGATGTGAGGAAGAAATGCCAGCAGTTGGAAGAGACCACAGATGTGGAGCATTGAGGATTTAATGTGTCCTCTTCCATGATCTAACTTCTTCAGTTGATTGCAGTAGTTCAAGGGAGTGGGGCATTCCACCTACTGCATCACCTTTCTTTAAGACAGCTCTCAAGTTTAGAAGGATAGAGCTTGGCTCCTACTTGACCTGTTATTGTGGAAGTTTTCACATCAGTTTCGGAGATATGCACATTTTTAGATGCCCTTGTTTTTTCTGTTTCAGGGCTCTACTGTGGCTCGAGAAGCCAGTGACAAAGAAAAGGTACGGTGCATTTTGGTTTATTTTTCAGTTACATAAACGTTAGCTAGACTCAGGTCTTGCAAAATCACTGCTTGTCTGCCCCTTTTCTTTGTTTTCCATCCTATG